GTCCTCAACTAAACTGTATATTCCACCCATGAAAGAAAGAACATTTCTTTTGAATATCACCAGGAGAGTACTTTTCAGATCCTCTAACTTCATACCAGCCAATTTAAAAGAGGGGACACTGCTTTCTGGTGGGAGGGAGGTCAAATGTGAACACTAATTACCACTGGGGTACCTACTTGGGTTGTCTCTCCAAACCTATTTCACATGGTTACAGCAAGCACAACCAAGTTCTACTAACACAGCATACCTTCTGAACAGGGGAGGGAGACAGGCGCGAGCTGAATCTGTTTCCTGTTATCTGGGGCAGTACCGGGGAGCTGCTGGCGACATAACTCGCATTAAGAGGACTAGGAAGGGTCCTCTGGAGCAAGAGCAGAAATGAAGCAAATGCACAGTGAGGAATGGAGACAAGAAAGAAAGTGTATCATGTTGACATGGGAGTCCCTGAGTCACCACCTCTGGATTCCATTATATACTCCCTGCATCTTTACGATAAATGTCTCCTCCTGCTTATACCAATTGGATGGATTTCTATTACTTATAGCCAAAATTAGCCTACTCACCACCACTATCATCTACTCATATCATTTTATAAAGGGAAATTTTAACACCAAAACCTCATGAAGAATAGAATCTCACACTTAAAAAAAAAAAAAAAAGGAATATTTACATAATAGCAATGTGCCTTGAACAGGTCTAAGTCCTTAAAATATAATGTTAAACAAAAGTAACAAAATCACTCTTTTCTCATGGGGTTTACATTCTGGTGAAAACATACAGATAATAAAATAATATGAATTTCAGTTGTAACAAATGGTTTGCAAAAAAAATTTAAAAGGCAGTCGGGTAGTGGGAAATGAGGACAGCGGCATTGTGAGAGGGTGTTCGGTAGCACTGCCTGTCCGACTCGGGAGTGTCTGAATCACAGCCTGAGACGATGGAAAGAAGCCAGTCATGTAAGGTTTTAGGAAGAGAATGCCAGGCAGAGCGAACAGTGCTAAGTCTGAAACAAGCCATGGCATTTCTGAGGGACATAAGAAAGAGCAGCTTACACGGAATGTAGCGAATAAGGGGGGCATGGGAGAATTGACAAAGTGACAGACCTAAGAGCAACAAGTGTAAGGGGGTAAAGTAACGTTTAGATCATGTATAGAAACTAGCAGGCAGTGGAAAGGATTTGAAAATAACTTCAGCTTTATGAAAAACTCACTATATTACCTCTTATTCTCATTTTGCCTTGTATCAGTGGTAACTTTAACATACAGGTCTTTAGAAATGATCATCCCCAAGCATTTGACACAACCCTGAGGTTAGCCAGGATCGAACATCTCCAAAGCAGAAAACAGCTCTTCTCGTACACTATGAAATTTTTAAAAAGAAAGTCAGGACAAAAAGCCAAGCCATCTGAAAGGAAATAAGAACAATCTAGGATAAGAGGATGACAGGAAGTATTCTAAATTCTATCTGGTTTATTTTACTTGTAAATGAATCTGCTATGATCAAGACTATACAAAGGTCTTAAGAACATAAAAACTTAAATTCTAAGCTCCTATAAACATAACATCCTTTGTTAACTGAGTTCACTATTATTAAATTCAACATTAACATGGTTACATATTGTCAGACAAGAAAAAAGTGAAAAACCAGACTTCTGGCTTTACAACAGCCACAGCTTAATGATTCACAAACGTGTGTTTTAATCTTCTCTGTATTATTATGAGAGAGGAAGAACTTCCTGAGGTGGTGAAATTAAGTACAAGGGATGCTTCAATACCTCTCCTCTGACAGCTCTTTTTCTGAAGGAGACAAATCGGTTCAAAGAGGTTTGGATATAGTGCACCTCACAGAAGAGTGATGTCCTCTCCAGATCTTTCCAGACACCAATGTCTGTGTGCACTAAGCAAGCAATTAAACTTATATTGCTTCTGACATTAATGCCAGTAAAGTCAGGTCTTTGAAAGCTCTAATGTACTCTTGGATCTCATCTTTCACTATGTTAGATATTTAGGTAGCCCAGTTAACGGCAGCCCAAAAGGTAGACTGTTAATAACACAATCCAGAAAAGGGAGGTACTTTGTGAGTGTGATAGGAGCTAAAGAAATAAGAGTCATTACACACCTTGATCAAGACTTGATTCTGGGCGCATCCTCCCCAACACATTGCCAGCAGTTTGGCCAAGCGCCCAGGGATAATCAGCAGCCAGGGCATCAGAGGCAGGGATATGATCTACCTGAATTGTAAAGTCTCCCCCCAGTGGCCGCAAAGAGCAGAGAGAGTAGGGAATCACTGCGGCTACTGTGAGACTGACCAGAAATACTCTGAACAGAACCTGGTCCCCACAATGAAGAAACAAAACCTTCAGTTGAGTACCAGCACCACATCACTAAGGAGATCTCTTATACTTATCTTGCTCTATGACATTCATAAATGTGAAGACTATTTTTGGAAGAAAAGAAGCTGCAGGTAAAACAAAACTAGCATAATTTTTCTTAGTATAATTTTAAAGGAATAACTTAACAATATTCTCAAACAGCCCAGTATTTGCTTTCATCTAATGGGCAGGTGTTCATCTGTACTGAAACAAATACCAGCACATCTCTTGCACTTTAACTACATCCACCTAAAGTAGAATTCTGATAGAAATTTAATCACCAAATGAATCACCCTGGAAAAGAATATTATCAGTAGTATATACCTAATGTCTAATTTGCAAAATACTACTTTTCAAAAACCACCTATAACTAGATAATTTATAATAAAGTATGTGATGTCAAAAGTACAAATGGGTCCTCTTGACTCTTAATATTTATTTTCTTCATGTGTTTATAATTAGACAGCCTTTGACCAGCACTATCCTTGTATTATTTGCAACTCTCAGGAATAATTTGCTGATATTAGTTTTAACACAGTTTGGATGTCAAAAAAATGTAAAAGTGATTTAATTAAAATATAGGTTGTCTTCTACTAACCATCCATTATTAAATAGCAAAGTATATAAATAAACTTCAATATGTAAACAACTTCAATTTTACAAAAGTTTTTTCAATAGGTAACATATACAGACAGGGTCTCACAATGATGATTGTCCTGGTTATCCCAAGCTAAAAACAGGGGGAGAAGGGGAAGGACGGCAGCAGGCTGTGTAGTCTTCTCGAACAATTTCAGCCCGAGATGAGATTCAGAAAAAAAGGAGGAAAAAAAGCGAACTGCTCCCTTGAATGCTTAAGAAAAATGTGATTCATTTCTAAAAATCCAACAGTGGCCTAGAGAACAGCATAAAATGATTCTGTCTTACACAGGGCTTACTAGAGTTGCTTAAGCACCTTAATTTTTCCAGTGTCTATTGAAACCAGAATGTGAAAAAAAATCATTTTGAAATTCCAAGTGGAAAAGGTATTAAGGTGGCATCAATTGGAAAAAGACAAACACACACACACAATTTTTTTTCTTCTTTAGTGTGCAACCTGTATAGGACAAAACAGAGCAATTAAAAGTATTATCATTTGTATATTATGTAACCCTACTCTAAACATGGACCTTAAAAAGTAACACATTGTGCAAACATATATTTAAACCTGTATTTAAATATATGATCATTTCAGGTACAAATGACCTCAAAGCGACACAACCCATAAAAGTTCCTTGTTTGCTGTCATAAGGCTTCCGAACAAGACTCTAATCAGGCCCGATACCTTACCATAACTGCACAGTAGGTGCCTAAAATAAGCAATAATTCCGTGAGGTCTGGTGTTATACCTGTGCACCGCAACGATCTCCGCATCGGTAACAGTGTTTGTTACCTCACCTAATATATTCGATATACTTAAGTTTCCAAACGACCATTTGAAAGATTTCCTGGGAAGAAATGGCTGCTAAATCATATTCCAACTGAAGACCATTTTAACGCACCTCAAATGTTCCAAGCCACATTACAGGAAGACCAATTCAGGAAGGAGAAAGTAAAATTCCAACAATCCCCAAAGGCTTAAAAAAGAGTAAATCGTGGCTAACTTGCCCTTAACAGGCTGTTTTTAAGTAATGCAGACAATTTTCTAAGCTTCCCCATCAGCCTTCAAGTCCCTTCCTCGTCTGCCCCCCCCCCCCACCCCGATTTACAAAAACGATGCCCCAGCTCATGGAAGTTTAAAGGACGCAATCTCCGGAGCTGGTGAGATTGAGACTAAACTCCCAATAAAGTGTTAAAAAGTCCAGCAAAAAACATCCATCAACTAATCGACATGCTGTCATCGTACCGACCCTAAGACCCCTCAATTGCCTCCCTCCGGTCACTTCATCAAGGGCGGGGGTTTTGGGGGGAAAGACCCGGCACCTTTCTGGTTCCAGATAAATGTAACCAGGATCGGAAAGCACCGCCTCGGCAGCGAACGCCTCCGGAGCGGCGTGTGCTCGGCCCACAACCACTTTAGCCAAAAAACTGGAGTCTCGTGCCCGGGAAGTAGCAGCAGTAGTTGCATAAAGCCTCCTCTCCAAGAACTCGGAGCCAAGGAGCAAGCCAAGAGCCGGCGGAATCGTCCCCACTCGAGACTGACCCCGATGGTGTCAGTCACGTCCACCACCGCCCCGGCACGGTTACCCACTCGGGCTTCCACGCCGCAGAGGGTGCCGGCCCCCGCGCCCCCAGCCCCCGCCCTGCCCCAGCCAGGGCCAAGCAAGAGAGCGCGTGGGTAGAGCCGGCGCGGCGGCCGGCAGCATGGGCCAGACACGCTGTCGCGCTACGCCCCGGCCGCCCGCCCGCAGCCCAGGAGCCGGGGCCCCGCCGAAGGCGCCGTTCCGCGTGGCCCGGCCAGGGACGCCTAGCAGCCCTCCCCACCCCCGCCGCCGCCCCAAGCCCCCGCCCGCCCGACCCCAGGTGCGGAGGGGGCGGGGCAGGCCCAGGTCCCCGCGTGGCGCGCGGCGACCAGCAACAGGGCGCCGCCCCGCCCGACCCCGGCGTGCGGCGAAACCGTTATCCGAGGGACTTGGGACCCCCGGCAACTCACCGGCTCGCACCTCGGCCGCCTCCGCGCCGCCGCCGCCGCTCCGCTCCCCTCCACCCGCCGCTGCTGCTCTCCGTCAGCCGCAGGCGCCACCAAGCAGCCCCATCTACAAACTCGGGGCTCGGAGTTGGGAACTGGAAATGCGGCTCTCACTCCCCTTCGCCTCCTTCCCCCTCCGTCCCTTTCTCGTTCCGCACTCCGTCTCGGCTCCGGCCGCCCGCACCGCCGCCGCCGCCGCCGCCACGCGCGCGGACAGCCTCCCCTCAGCCGCCCTCCTCCTACTCCAGCCGCCGCCGCCGCCGCTGCCGCCGGGGCGCGCTCCCTCCTGGCCTCGCGCGTGCGCCGGACGTCCGGGAGCGCGCGCTCGGGCGCGAGGAGGCGCCGCTGCCTCCGGGAAGCCGGGCCCCGCCCCTCCGGTCGCGGCGCGGCGGCCAGGTGGAGCCCCCCTCCGAGCGCCCGCTACGGCGCCGGGGCCTGGCTGCGCCGCCTGCGCCCGGCGGCCTCTCCCGGGTCCTGGCCCGGAGCCTCGCCGCCGGGGGCTCAGTCAGACCCCATCTCCGCCGGGTGTTCCAGGCCGAAATTGCCGCTGTCATTCACCATTTACTGATGGACAAGATACTCCAGGGGGCATGAAAGAGGCTCCTCCCCGCTCTTTCCAAGAGTTTACATTCAAAGAACCCAGTCACGGGGAACAAAGGACACATAGACCTGGAAGAAAACCCTCTGGAAAATCGCCTCCCTCCCCCTTCACACACACTGCTGGTTCTGATGTGTATTTGGCAGTTTCTACCGCGCTGGCGGTGTCCTTCACGAATTTTCTCCCAAAAGCCCAACAGGGGAGTGTGATTCACGGCCGAGGAAATGGACGGACACTGGCTCCTTTCACAGCGCCGAGGCCCCGTGGAGCTCCCGGAGTCAGCTTTGCAGGGCACTCCCCGGACACTGCTCGCTCAGTCACTCTGCGAACATCGGGTCTCCCCAGAACTCAGTGGGGGGCTGCGGGGGCGGGGGGGCTCCATCCTTTCACCTTGACTCCGTCCCGGGAACGGTGAACTGCGAGCGTCCGGTCTGCAGATGACACATTTCGACAAGAGCACAGATTTGATTTTTCAGCTGAAAGCAACCGAGCGATGCAGTGCAGCAGAGGCCCTGGTAAGAAGATGCAGCCAGGCAGTCAGAGAACTTCAATTCCCTTAGCATCCACCTGATCCCGAAAGATCCCTGAACCCTCGGACCTGTGATGGGGGCTCTCGAAAAAGCTGTTTCTCCCTCAAATTGATGAGACTATGAGGATGTTATTTAAATCTTACAAAATGTTTACTGCAGTCTTTTCCAACCATAAATGTATAAAGAGCAAGTAAAACTTGAGAGGAACGTCACATTAGGTGACCTCCCGTGTGCAGCCTTTCCTGTCTCCTCTTGAGCACGTTGCACCATCCTGCACACACCGGGCATTTGATAAATGTAGCAGAATGAGTGACGGCGTCAGGACCCGCTGGATCAGTGCTGGAGTGTCCAGCCGCATTGCGCCCGCTCTTCCAGCGTGGTTCGCGTGGAAGGGAGGCAGCCGGTGCAATGGATGAGGTGTGTTAAGAAGGCCCAGTCCTCGAAACAGTGACTTTTTTTCCCTCCTTCCTCCACGTAGTATCAAAGATTAATTTACTTTTCCTTAGGATCATTAATTTCGCAAACCAACATTCAGGAGGAGTTGGTAGCATATTAATTGAGAACCCTCTGTCCTGGAATAGCGAGCCTGGGGAAGGAAAACTGGAAGCATTGAAGAGGACCTGGATGTCCTTAGGAGTATAGAGGAACTTTGGGCCCGTGTTACACCCCTCCCTGCTGTCAGGCCAGCTGGGTGAAATGACATGGTGGGCTGTGTGCTCAAGGCTGCGGTCAGGCAGAGGCAGAACGGAAGAATGAGGCTTCTTCTCAGAGAATCAGCAAACCTTCCAGGCCTGCCTCTTCCTCCTCCTTGCTTTCCGGGCCCATTTGCTGCGCACAGGATTCGCTGGGTGCCGCTGCTGCCGCACCCTACCCGGGCCTGTGAACTTGCATTCTCTCTCCCTCTGACCCCATGCCTCATCACAGCGCCTCCTAGCCAGCAGGTGCCCTGAGCTCTGGAGGAGCGGGGAGAGGTGGGTGTCACTTCTGAGTGTGTTCCTTTAATTTTCTCAAGGGCCTTCTGGAAACAATGTCCTAACCTCCTACTCTATCCCTCTGACCACGAGTAGACCTCTTTGACTTACCGCGAGGACCAGTCTCCCTGAATGTGCCAGGGGGCACAGCATTTGGGAGCAGGAATACAGGAACAATTATCTTTCATTTACAGCTCCAATCTGTTCTCTAAAACAATGACAGCAGCTACTAAATGGAAGGTTATCATGGTTGTAAGGCTCATCCTCATCCTCAGAGCCAGAAAAAAAATGATTTGGCTCCACAACTATCTTCAGGTGCTTCCCTTCAGGATGCTCTTGCCAGTGAAGTTTCTCTTTCAGTGTCTATATTTTATCAAATATCCATATACAGGTTATATGATGAAACATTACTTTTTATAAATAATAGTGCCACTTGATGACATTCCACCCTTCCTCTAAACTTTAAAGATGGAACATGCCAGAATAAATTTAAAGCGATCTAACAGGAACATTGGGACTCTCATCATTGCTTGCCAGCCCACCTTTCTGAGAGCTCATCATTTCTGAGACACCCCCATCCATTTCCCGTACCTGTTACAAATTCTTTATTCCAGGAGAGAGGAATGTTATGATTGGAAATGAAGGGGAATCCTTCTTTTCAATGTCCTCAGTGTTCTGACTTTTCATTTTCTTCAAGGTGACTCTAAAGGAATCATATTTTTAACCAGAGCCCAGTATCTCCTAACCATAACTCAATTTAAAGTCTGATTTTTGAGTCTTAATTCTGGAACCTCCATCAATCGCTTTATTTCCTCCTTCAAATATAAAAAAAAAAGCCTATATTCTTTTAATATGATTGTGTTTTCTCTTCTGACCTGCCTTCCTACCTCAGAAGTGGAGCATTTTGCTAATAGTAAAAGCCCCAATTTTTAGCAAAGCAAGTCTTACCTGCTCATTCTCTGACTAATCCATCATAATAAGGGCAGTGATGGTCCTGGAATATAGCTTTATGAAAAATTGCAACTGACATGCATCACAAAGTCCAGCCAAGCTTTCGGCAGGGTACTTTATTTAGCTTCACCCCTTTTATCTCTGTGCACAATTTCCAACCTCCTTGCTAACCTTTCTAATTCAAGTTTCTCTCTTGCTTGCTTGCAATTTTCCCTACAGTTAGAACAATGTTTCTTTCTTTTGCCTCATCCAGAAAACTTTATGAAACAAGACCCCCCAAAACCCATTGATGGCTGGCTCCCTTCTCTAACTTTCATTGTTCAGGCGTCGGGGGTAGGTGGTCCAGCCAGGGCACCAGGATTTTTTCTGAGCTCTCCAGATAATTCTCATATGCAGCCAGAGCTAAAAACTACTGAAATGAGTCATCTTCCAAACAACATTTATACAAAGTCTTCTCAGAACATCAAGGTGGCTCCAAATTACCTCAAGTACTTAAAACACCTAATCCTGTGCTTTAAGACTCTTTGCCAATTGACTAGAATAGTCCCCTTTCAAAACAGCTTAAATTTATCTCCTTCCTAAAGCTTCTCCAGATTAGTCTCACCTGGCTGCCTAGAGATTGCTGTTCCCAATTCTCTGAGCATTCCAACTGGCACTGGTTTACAAGCTCTTGAACCACAGTTGACTGTGTATATCATTGTTTTAATCTAGCTTTCATGGGCTATCTGTCAGAGGCTCCTCTTGCAATCTAAATCTCTCTGAAGTACCACTAGATCAACAGACGACCTCAGAATAAACAGAAATGTCATTCTTCGCAGAAATTTCCCCTAACTACATTCCCTGACACAAAGGCAGTTCATTTTTTTTATAACCACAATTAAAGCCAACAGTTGTTAGAATTCATGTGTCTGGGGTTGCTCTTTTTTTCCTTACAAAGGAAAAACTATTTCACTATATCTCCCTGACTCTCTTTACCATCATTCATTTACTTTAGGCTTGGAATTTGGCTTTCCCACCCACCTCTGTACTGAAACTACTCTTTGTGCCACAACTGATATTTTCATTCACATGTTTATTCATTCAGGCAATCATCCCTTAGTGGTGAATGTTGGGAATAAAATAATTAAAAATATCAATTCACCCCTATCTAATGGTGGAGAATAATAAGCAATTAAAGTATCACGTGACAAGTGCTAAGTCAGGAGTCTTAACCAGACACAGTGGAACAGTGGGGAGGGCCTTTGCTTAGTGTTCAAGTGATCCAACTTTAGTGTTTGAGATCGATCCCCACACTCTCACCTTTTAAATCTCCCTCTTCCTTCATCTTCTATGATACTGTACAACCCAGGAACTTCTGCTTCTCTGAGGATTCCTTCACGGTCATCTTCACTTGTATCACCTCCTCCCATTTCCAAAATAAAAATGATCCACCAGAAATGAAAGAGGTTTTTGAGGGAGAAAGCGTAGAAAGAGAAGAGACTGCTGTTTCTCTCAAGAATCTCCTGGACCCTTAGGGCTCTATCTTCCATGCTTCCACATCTGTATCTACAGTTCTACTCTCCCCCTGGGGCAAGTTTTTTAATTTCCTGTTGACTATCTCCATCTGGATAAGTCCTTCACAGCTCCAATTAACATGGCTAAAATAAAATTTATTGCTTCCACCTTCCTACTCCACTGTCTCCTGCAGGTTTCCCTTGCTCCTCCCTCTTCACCTTCCTATCCTCTCCCTAACAGACAGCCTGCACCCAGGTCCCATGGAGTTTGCTTTCTCAAAGTCATGAAAGTGGATTCTCTTGTCAATTTCTTTTGGACCTACAGGAAGTCTCCTTGCCCAATCCCATGTGCACCTTCAAGCCGAATGTCAGTCATATCCTCCCTGCCTCCTCACTGCCTGTGGGACTCCATTCACAAGGTCATTCACAGTGATTTTCAAGGCTCCCCAGTGTCTGGTTATTACGCATCTATCATATCTTGCACCTATTACAGGGGTGGACAAAAGTAAGTTTACAGTGTGGGTATGCAAAACACAGAATTTATTCTAGTATTATTATTAATTATTGTATTATTTGTATTCCAACTATA